GAAAGAATGAGAAAATGAGAGAGGATTAGAAAGAAAAAAGGGAGAGAATGAGGGAGAGAATAAGAGATAGAGAACGAGAGAGAAAGAGAGGAGAGAGGAGAGAGAGCGGAGAATAAAAAGAATGAAAGAATGAGAAGAAAGAAAGAGGATTAGAGAGAGAAAGAGGGAGACAATGACGGAGAGAATGAGAGAATGAGAGTGAGAAAGAGACTGAAGAGAAAGAAAGAATGAGGGAATGAGAGAAAGGAGAGAAAGAATAAAAGAACGAGAAGAATGAAAGAATGAGAGAGGATTAGAGAGAGAAAGGGAGACGAGAGGGAGAGAAAGAATGAGAGAGAGAATATGAGACGAAAGAATGAAAGATGAGAGAATGAAAGAATGAGTGAATGAGAGAGATTAGAGAGAGGGAGACAATGAGAGAGAATGATAGAGAGAGTGAGTGAGAACAGAGGAGAGAATGAAAGAGAATGAGAGAATGAGAAGAGAGAAAGCGAATGAAAAAGAATGAGAGAATGAGAAGAGAAAGCAAAAGAATGAGAGAGAATGAGAAGAGAAAGAATGAGAGAGAGAGAGAATGAGAGAGGGGAGAGAAAGAATAAAAGAAAGAGTCAGAAGAGAAAGAACGAGAGACAGAGAGAAGGAGAGAGGAGAGAAAGAAAGAGAATGAGGGAGAATGAGAAGAAAGAAGGAGAGAACGAAAGAGAGATAGAGAGGAAACCGACTCTGCAGAGCATCAGCCATTTTGCAAAGAAGCCCTTTTCAACACCCACACCCACAAAAACAGAGATAATCACACACACACAACCCCCAAACCAGGCTGCAAGAAGCAGGCAGGATGTGGCCAAAACACACCAGGCATCTTCGAATATCAAAACAAAAGCACACACACACACACACACACAAAGTGCCAAGTTGAAGCCCAGCCAAGCCCCGGCCATCCTGCCTGAGGGATTCTGGGAGTTGAAGTCCACCAGTCTCCAGAGGGCCCAGTTGGAAGACCCCTGCCCATTTGCACCCCTGAGGAACTTTGGGGGAGCAAGCCGGGCCGGGACCTGTTTGCAAACTGCCGGAAGGGGGAGGACGAGGGGTGCGGGGTGTGTGTGTGTGTGGGAGATGAAAATATAACCCCCTTCTCATATAATAAGATAGGGCTAAACAGAACAAACCTGAAATAATAACAATAATAACAACAATAGTAGTAGTAGTAGTAGTAGTAGTAGTAGTAGTAGTAGTAATAATTAATAATAATAATAATAATAATAATAATAATAATAATAATAATAATAATAATAATAATAATGCCAAATCCAGTCTGAACATCTGACTGACTGTGCGATGATCCATAATAATAATCATAATAAATAATTAAAAGTTGGAAAGGGGCTTGGAGGTCATCTAGTCCAACCCCCTGCGCAGGCAGGAAACCCCGTAGACCATTTCGGACAAAGGGCGGTCCAGTCTCTTGTTAAAAACGGGCCCCCACAGAAGTGATTTGAAGCTTTTAACTCGAACTTTTATGCTGTTCCTCGGACGAGGACGTACGATGTGCAATCTGCTGAGCTCTGTGCGATATGAAATCGCAAAGTCGGTAGTTCTGTGTATTATTTGCAACAGGAGTGTCGTAGTCCTGGGAAAAGAGGAAGAGAAAGTAGCTTGTGGATGCGGGTTCCAGTATACAGCGGGAGGTCAGTAGAAAGTCAGCAAAAGTCGGCCGAAGTCAGCAAAAGTTCTCCGACGACAGTCTCAGAACGAGAAAGGGTGTAAAGGGGTTGGGACTGGACCCGATTGATTGGCCACTAGCCTACGACCGTCCTTTTGGAATCTATGCCATGTCGTCCTCACCGCAAGGGGTTATTAACGTAAGCGAGGTTAATAATAATAATAATGATAAAGTTGGAAGGGACCTTGGAGGTCATCTAGTCCAACCCCCTGCTCAGGCAAGAAACCCTATACCATTTCGGACAAATGGCTGTCCAGTCTCTTCTTAAAAACTTCCAGTGTTGGAGCGTTCACCGCTTCTGGAGGCAGGTGGTTCCACTGGTTAATTGTTCTCACTGTCAGGAAGTTTCTCCTTAGTTCTAGGTTGCTTCTCTCCTTGATCAGTTTCCATCCGTTGATTCTCGTCCTGCCTTCAGGCGCTTTGGAGAATAGCTTGACTCCCTCTTCTTTGGGGCAGCCCCTGAGATACTGGAAGACTGCTATCCTGTCCCCCCTCGTCCTTCTCTTCGTTAAACTAGACATCCCCAATTCCACCAACCATTCCTTATATGTTTTAGCCTCCAGTCCCCTAATCATCTTTGTTGCTCTTCTCTGCACTCTTTCTAGAGTCCCAACATCTTTTTTACATCGCGGTGACCAAAACTGGATGCAGGATTCCAAGTGTGGCCTTACCAAGGCCTTGTAAAGTGGTATTAATACTTCAAGTGATTTAATTTTGTATATTATTAACCGCCGCAAGAATTGCGTTCGCTCAACGTTGGAAAAAAGAGGATTTACCGACAGAGGAAGAATGCATTAAAATTAAAAAAAAAAGTTTTATTGATTTTCTAGTTGTATGTTTCAGTATTTAAAAAGCAAGGTGGCGGCTGGGTTAATCGATAATACGATAACGTACAAGTAGCCTTAATACAAGTCGGAAGCTACTACATTAAATTGTTCCTCTCTTTTCTCTTTCACATTTACTGCCTTCTGTTTTAAACTAATACAATTCTTATTAAACCAATGAAATAAAAATGACTTTCTTAAGATTTATCAATAATGTTTGGCTTACACATATCCTTTTTCTTTTAACATTCAGTCGTTATAGACAATCCACGTCCTAATGAGTTCCCCCCAATGTTTAATTTCCCATTGATGTTGAACTGTCAACATTTTTAATATTTATAATTTCCAAGTTTGGAGTGAACCCAAGTTCCCATTTTCACCCTTCGTCACGAAGTCTAACGTTCAGAATACACGTCTTATCCATTGAGATATAATTCTATTTCTCGTTATCTTACATCAACTAATTGATAATACAAGTATAACAGTCTTGTTTCCTATTCATTAAAAAAAAAATCTTTTAGTGTGCAGACATGGATAGATTGACATTGAAAATGAAAGCGAAACAAGACGGCAGTTGATTTTAGAGCGTTTATCACTGGCTAGAAAAAACGAGGTAAATGTGGGAACCGAGACAATATGTTACTGATAAAATATTAGGCACTTGTGGTTATATGTTCACAGGCCTCTTTCTGACAACCACACACCCCTGCAATACACAGGCGCTCCGTGGAAGGCCCATTGGTTGCGATCGTTATTATTATTTTTTCCTGCAGTCCTAACTCTCCGTCGAAGTCGGTCGTCTGCCTCATTGGCTACACCGGTCCGTTATCCGGGTACGAACGAAAAAATCCCACTCACTTAAAGTAGAACATGAGAACAACCGCAATCACAATCGCCAGCAAGAAGGAAACCAACACAGACAGGGCCACAATTTCTGGGCAGGTCAAGGGCCTCGGTAACAGCCTTTCCCGGACGGTGGCCGGGAAAGATCGGACGTTCTCAACCCGTACTCTGCGGGGCGCCTTGTACAGCCGGTGGACGTAGTATCTCCCCCGGTTCTCCGAAACGATTCTCTCCACCATCTCCATCAGCTCCGAGACCTGCCTCTCCCGCTCGGCGCCCTTGGCCTTGTTGTCGAAGCCGCAGAAGCGGTTCCGGCACTGCCGGATCAGCTTCCGCAGATCCTGGTTGTCGGAGCTTCGGACATACTGCTGGAGGGAGGCCCCTCCCAAATCCTCCAGGCAGGTGAAGAGGACGATGGTGCGCCTGGCGGACTTGGCCCCAAAGATATCCCAGACCCGCTTTGCGGCGGCCACGTCTTCCGCGGTGAAGCGCCCCACCTGGGTCACCAAGATCAGGGCGTGGGGGCCGGGCCTGGAGAGCGCGATGCAAGACGCGATCTCCCGTTCCAGAATCTCACTGCAGGTCTCCGAGTCGAAAATGTCGGGCGTGTCAACCACGCAGATCCTCTTGCCCTGCCAGTTTCCCTCCCCGCTTTGGCACCGCAAGGTGGTGGCCCTCACTGCCAGGTGGGATTCGAACTCTCCCCGGCCAAGGATGGTGTTGCCCGTGGCGCTCTTCCCGCCTCCGGATTTCCCCACCAGGATCAGCCGGAGTTCGGCGACCTCCCCTGCGGGTTTGGAAGAAGACGACGACGTTACAAAAAAGGGATCCAGATAGATTTCTCGCAACACGTCGGGGTGTCGTGGAGCAGGCTGGAAACGGGGAAACCACTTTGGAAAAGAGTCACCCCTGCCCGGAAGCACTTCCGGGATGCGTTTCGGGGACTCTCCCCGAGTTGCTAAATTGGGCTCCGCTCGGCCGCGTAGATCCCCACAACGTGCAAACCCCACTTTAGCAAAACTCCGCCGATAAAACAAGATAGCAAAGTCAGGAAATGAATCTCTGGTTTCAGAGGACAACTGGGGTCCCAGCAGCCCTTTGAACCCGCTTCAGCCCCCCCACACTTGATGTCCAAATATCCCCACCCCCCAATCCAGTAAACCTGGGTTCTGGGTCAGCCGACGACTCAGAAGAGGCTCAGGACTGCCGGCAAAGAGCTGGGGGAGGACGCCTGACCCACTGGGCTGGGGGGGGGCAGGATACAGAGGCAGGCCGGACCAACCAGGAATGCCCCTCCTGCCTCCCCCCCCACCCCAAATTTGCAAGCCGGCTTCCAACCTGGGTTTGTTTCGGACAGAGGGAGATTAAACCCGTCGGGAGGACGATCCGCGCAGCGCGGAGGAGTCCTGAGGCGCCTGTCCGACGGCCGAAATCGGTCCGGAGGGTCGTCCAGGGTCTAATTGCCCCCCCCACACACAAGTACTCTGGCTGTTTGCTACGGGGGAGAGACCCATCCAGCGCAGCTCTTCCTCTGCACTGACATCGGCTCGCCCTCCTCACCCCAACCGCTAGGCGTGGCCTCCTCACTTACCCAGCGCGGCCTCTTCATCCATCGTTCCCTGGGAGAGTGGAAAGGAAAAACCGGTCAGACGTGACTCTCGTCCCGCTGTCCGGCGGGGCGGAGTGTGCCAGCCGCCCCCCCTCCCTCTTCATGCCCAGAATTTGCACCCGGGTCCCCCACCCCATTCAAGGCCCCACCCCGAAGCTGCTCTGGAGCCCCTCCCCCGAGCGAAGGAGGGGCTGCGATGCTCGGAAGGGGACCCAGGAAGGAAGGAAGGAAGGGAGTGGCAGGAAGGGCGGGAGAGAGGGGGAAGAGGGAAGGGAACTGGGTGGAGGAGAAAAGGGGGAAGAGGGGAGTGGGGCGGGGAGGGCACCCTTTCTTTGTTGGGGGGGCAGCAGACCCTCCCTTGCTTCCTATCGTTTTACCTGAAGTGGACGGGGCTGGTCTGGAGCCGGACGGCCCCAGGTGCTTGGACGGGCCCTGTCTGAGATGGTATAGGTCCTCCTGCTTGAGCAGGGGGCTGGACTAGATGACCTCCAAGGTCCCTTCCAGCTCTATTCTATTCTTATTTCTATTCTATTCTTATTTCTATTCTATTCTTACTTCTTTTCTATTCTATTCTATTCTTATTTCTATTCTATTCTTATTTCTATTCTATTCTTATTTCTATTTCTATTTCTATTCTATTCTATTCTATTCTTATTTCTATTTCTATTTCTATTCTATTCTATTATTCTATTCTATTCTTATTTCTTTTCTATTCTATTATTTCTATTCTATTCTATTATTCTATTCTATTCTTATTTCTTTTCTATTCTATTCTTATTTCTATTCTATTCTCATTTCTATTCTATTCTTATTTCTATTTCTATTCTATTCTTATTTCTTTTCTATTCTATTCTTATTTCTATTTCTATTCTATTCTATTATTCTATTCTATTCTTATTTCTTTTCTATTCTATTATTCTATTCTATTATTTTCTATTCTATTCTTATTTCTATTCTATTCTCATTTCTATTCTATTCTTATTTCTATTCTATTATTTCTATTTCTATTCTATTCTATTATTCTATTCTATTCTTATTTCTATTCTATTATTTCTATTCTATTCTATTCTATTCTGTTCTTATTTCTTTTCTATTCTATTCTATTCTTATTTCTATTCTATTCTTATTTCTATTTCTATTCTATTATTCTATTCTATTCTTATTTCTATTCTATTCTATTCTTATTTCTATTCTATTATTTTCTATTCTATTCTTATTTCTATTCTATTATTTTCTATTCTATTCTTATTTCTATTCTATTCTATTCTTATTTCTTTTCTATTCTTATTTCTATTTCTATTCTATTATTCTATTCTATTCTTATTTCTATTCTATTATTTTCTATTCTATTCTTATTTCTATTCTATTCTTATTTCTATTTCTATTCTATTCTATTCTAATTTCTATTCTATTCTATTCTATTCTATTCTTATTTCTTTTCTATTCTATTCTTATTTCTATTCTATTATTTTCTATTCTATTCTTATTTCTATTCTATTCTATTCTTATTTCTTTTCTATTCTTATTTCTATTTCTATTCTATTATTCTATTCTATTCTTATTTCTATTCTATTATTTTCTATTCTATTCTTATTTCTATTTCTATTCTATTATTCTATTCTATTCTGAGCATCTCCCCCGTTCTAAAACCTGCACCCCACCCCACCCTTTTCCGAGACCCCCCCCCTCAGACCTACCAGGGGCGTCTTCCCCGTCGATTGGTAGGTCATTCTGAGCTGCTGGTGGTCGCAGAGCGATTCCCTCGGCCTGCGGGGAGACGAGAGAGAAGCAGAACAGAGTTGGACGGCGCCTCCGAGGTCATCTAGTCCAACCCCCTGCTCGAGCAGGAGACCCTGACAGATTGACAGAGTTGGGAGGGACCTCGGAGATCATCCAGTCCAACCCCCTGATCAAGCAGGAGACCTTACAGAATCACAGGGTTGCAAGGGACCTCAGAGGTCATCTAGTCCAGCCCCCTGCTCGAGCAGGAGACCCTGACAGAATCATAGAAGGACAGAGGTGGAAGAGACATCAGAGGTCATCTAGTCCAACCCGCTGCTCAAACAGGAGACCCTGACAGAATGAGAGTTGGAAGGGACCTCAGAGGTCATCTAGTCCAACCCCCAGCTCGAGCAGGAGACCCTGACAGAAGGACAGAGTTGCAAGGGACCTCAGAGGTCATCTAGTCCAACCCCCTGCTCAAGCAGGAGACCCTGACAGAATCATAGAAGGACAGAGGTGGAAGAGACATCAGAGGTCATCTAGTCCAACCCGCTGCTCAAACAGGAGACCCTTACAGAATGAGAGTTGGAAGGGACCTCAGAGGTCATATAGTCCAACCCCCAGCTCAGGCAGGAGAACCTTACAGAATGACAAGGCTGGAAGGGAACTTGGAGGTCATCTAGTCCAACCCGCTGCTCAAACAGGAGACCCTTACAGAATGACAGGGCTGGAAGGGACCTCGGAGGTCATCTAGTCCAACCCCCAGCTCAAGCAGGAGACCCTTACAGAATGACAGGGCTGGAAGGGACCTCAGAGGTCACCTAGTCCAACCTGCTGAAGCAGGAGACCCTTCCAGAATGACAGAATCACAGGTTTAGAAGGGACCTCGGAGGTCCTCTAGTCCAACCCTCAGCTCAATCAGGAGACCCTTATAATTACAGAGTTGGAAGGGACCTCCGAGGTCATCTAGTCCAACCCGCAGCTCAAGCAGGAGACCCTTACAGAAGGACAAGGCTGGAAGGGACCTCCGAGGTCATGTAGTCCAACCCCCACCCCCCCCGGCTGAAGCAGGAGACCCTTACAGAAGGAAAGAGTTGGAAGGGACCTCCGAGGCCATCTAGTCCAACCCGCGGCTGCAACAGGAGACCTTCACCGAATTACAGAACAACGGGAAGCGCGGGATTCGTCGTCTAGTTGAAATAAAATAAAATAAAATAAATCAGCACAGCCAAAACTTCCAAGGGAAAACAATTGTTAATTTATTTGTTTGTGTGCTCCTCGTGCACATTTTCCTCCCGCCTCTCCCCATTGGCTCAGTACTCGTGGTAGCCCGACCTATCCCGAAGCTCCTAAACCGAATACATTATCTCCGCCCCCCCCCCACATTACACCCCCCACTTCCCTAATTCTATCGCGCCCCCCTCCCTTATTTACAAATTACCTTGTATGGTTGTGAGTTCCTCGGGGTTGTGTCTCTGGAGTCGCTATCACACCTTCCCAGCTTCAAGCGGCGCTGGTGGGATTAAAATATATATACCGCCTATTTGCCTCCCAGACTGGCAAGCCTTCTGCAGTTTCTGGAAAAAAAACAACAACAATAGACCGTTTTTCCCCCACAGAAGGGACCTCGGAGGTCATCTAGTCCAGCCCCCTGCTCAAGCAGGAGATCCTTACAGAATGAGAGTTGGAAGGGACCTCAGAGGTCATCTAGTCCAGCCCCCTGCTCAAGCAGGAGACCCTTACAGAATCACAGAATTGGAAGGGACCTCAGAGGTCATCTAGTCCAGCCCCCTGCTCAAGCCGGAGACCCTTAGAGAATCACAGAATGACAACAGTTGGAAAGGAGCTCAGAGGTCATCTAGTCCAGCCCCCTGCTCAAGCAGGAGACCCTTACAGAATCATAGAATGACAAGAGTTGGAAGGGACCTCAGGGGTCATCTAGTCCAACCCCCTGCTCAAGCAGGAGACCCTTACAGAATTACAGAATCACAGGGTTGGGAGGGACCTCAGAGGTCATCTAGTCCAGCCCCCTACTCAAGCAGGAGACCCTTACAGAATGACAGACTTGAAAGGGACCTCAGGGGTCATCTAGTCCAGCCCCCTGCTCAAGCAGGAGACCCTTACAGAATGACAAGAGTTGGAAGGGACCTCAGAGGTCATCTAGTCCAGCCCCCTGCTCAAGCAGGAGACCCTTACAGAATTACAGGGTTGGGAGGGACCTCAGAGGTCATCTAGTCCGGCCCCCTGCTGAAGCAGGAGACCCTTAGAGAATCACGAAAGTTGGAAGAGGTCATCTAGTCCAACCCCTTGCTCAAGCAGGAGACCCTTACAGAATCACAGAATGACAGAGTTGGGAGGGATCTCGGAGATCATCTAGTCCGGCCCCCTGCTCAAGCAGGAGGCCCTCGATCATTCCAGACAAGTTCCTTAAAAATCCTCCAGTATCCGAGGCAAGCTTAATTAATTCTTCTTAATTCTTGGTGAATCGTTCTCCCGCTTAGAAACCTTTTTTCCTTCATTGCGGGTTCGAGGTGGGGGAGACTCCCCCACACCCTTCCCGTGGAGAGGGAGGACCTTTTTTTGGGGGGGGAGCAGGGGGGTAAACGGGAGCCCCTCCCCTCCCCTCCTGCCTTTCCCAGCAACGCGGGTGGGGCCCCGCCTTGCCTTGGGGGGGGGGAAACCCCGCCAATTTAAAAAAAAATAAAATTAATTCATCTTTTTTGAATCCAGGAATGGGCCCACGGCTGACCCCCCCACCCGCGGGGGGGGGGATGGAAACGTGTGGGGGAGCAGGGGGGAGGCCGCACCCCCCTCCCCACCTTCCAGAGACCCCCGACGCTTTTGAAGCCAGCCCCCCCTCTGAAAAGCTTGCCCCCCCCCAAAAAAAGGGAGGGGCACTGCCAGCCCCCCACTCCCCAGCCCCACGGGAAGGGAAAAAAGAGCTGGGTCGCCCCCCCACCCTCTCCTCCTGCCCGGGCTGCGCCACATGGGCCCTCCGATCCCGGGGTGGGGGTGTGTGGAGGAGTGGGCGCCCCCTCCTCCTCCTCCGTCCGGGAGGGTGGGGGGTCCTGGAGGTCAATCGGGGAAGGGCGGGGGGGGGTCTGAGAGCTCAGCCCGGCTGGGAGGGGGTGGGGGGGGGTCTTTCCGCAGATCTGGAGGGGGGGGTGGTCTCTCTCCTCATCCTCCCCCCCCCACCCCGAGACCCTCCTCCCTCCCTACTCACTCGCCCCGTCTCGCTTTCCGACCTGGCCGATCCCGGAGCTTTCTCCGCGCCCGTTTCCT